TCTTTATTCTATAACTCCACAATGGGTTAGAGCTGCTCCTCGGGTGGGAATTGTTCTGCTCCATAGGCTACTTAATACTTCCTATAAACGACTGCTAAATTAGGTAGGTAATACTCAATATTCCTGACCTGACCAGCGAAGTATTTGTAGCTGCATATTAGGGGAGAGGCAGGGCTGGAGATGTCAGAGGTGAACCTGGGGTTAAAGAAGACAAAATACTGGTTGGTTTTTTTACATATATAAAAAGCAAGGGTATGTGTATGGGTGCAACTGCATTTCCCTCAAAAGAAATGCAGGGAAGCTTTGATCTCAGACCTCTATTGTACCTTAGGCATCTCTGGTACCTAGCCAAAGTGTATCCTGTTGAGAATGGAGTTTCACCAGTAATGTCATGGGATATATTTTTAAGTACACGTGCCTGCCTGCTTTTTGTCCCTACTAACACTGTGTAATTCTCTAAATATTGTCTAAACTTGAGCCACGGCATTGGGACTCCAACTTAGAGTAGGACTCCTTGGTCCTTCACAGTCTTCTGGATGGGAGGTTTCCACTCTACTTGACCTTTGAGGAAGGGCTACTTGGGGCTGATGGGACACTGTGGTGGTGTTCCATGGGGACCCTAGACCTTGCCCGTTCTGTGGGTCCTGGTGGCAGATGCTGCCAAGCTGCTGGGGAGGTGACATTACCCCGCTACAAACCTGGCAGTCTGTAGGACAGAGCAACTGAGGACTAGGAAGGTCCATGACCAGGGAAGGGAAAAAACCTCCAGAAGTCTCTCCCCACCAAATATCCCATTTTTGTGAGTGTGCTATGACCATTCTTCACAAGGGCCTTGGAAGCAGACGTGAGTTTTTCTATTGCCCCTTGCAATCTTCCATCTGAGCAGCATTTTGCAAAGGGATGGTCTGCAGACCCATGCACTTCCACTTGCAAGAGTCCTTTTTTTCCCCCTTGTTTTTTTCCCCTCCTCCCGCCTCTCCTTTGTGCTTGGAAAACATCTGTTTCCAGATGTTGTTCTTGAGTCTAATAAACGCAGCGAAAGGCCTTGAGTTAATATATTTACAATAGCTGGAGATGTCGGCTGCTAGTTAATGGCTCGTTCGAGCACACCAAGACCCCCACATTTCCTGAGAGGAAAAAAAAAACCAACAAAAAAACGGAAAGAAAAAGAGAAGTGGGGTGGGGTTTTTCTCCCTAGTAAATGGCCTGAAAAGGGGAAGTTCTCCTCAGGCAGTTTTGGGGATTACTGGTGGGATTGAGCGCACAGTCATCTCCATGCAGTTGGCTTCAACTGTGACAGGAGTGACTGGAAGGGCACTTCCCCACCCCACCCCCCAAAAGGCTCTGCTTAAAGTGAAGGAAAGTCAGGAAGACCTGCTGCTGTTGCCCACCCCTTTCCAGGCCAAATGAAGACCTGCTGTAGATACCTTGCTGGCTTGAACCATGTGCATAGAAGCGAGAACCTCATCCACACCCAGCTCTTCCATTTCTGGCCTGTGGTGTGGAGAGGTTCATGCCCATGGTACCTACCTGGGGTCAAAGAGGGTTTATGGTCTCTCACAACGAGACCACGTTGTGCCCTGGGAGGAATCCCCATGCATTGTGCCCCTTTGTGAGCACCGTTGTGTCTGTTGCAGAGCAGTACTGGACAACCTCTCTGTAAGGCACTTTGCCCACACGCAAAGGCCCCTGAGAAGGGCAAAGTGCCAGTACTGCCTACAGATTGACAAACCTGGAGGCTTGCAAACCTGTACGTAACCATGTCCAGCGTTGTCAGTTGACCCAGAGCTGCGTGCTAGATGTGAAACACTTTCTTCCATTGTACAGAGGGCTTCAGCTGCTTTGGGAAGTATATATTGCTTTATATTTGTTCCAGATTTCATTGCATGTTTGTGCTGAGGTCCATAACCGCCCTCGAGGACCTGTTAGAAGCAGTGGAAGCGTGTGGTTACTGTCCTTGTAAGGAATTGCATCAACCTCCCTGAGGAGAGAGTGATATAGCCTCAAGCTCAGCATACCGAGGGCAGGCTAGCCTGCTCCAAGAATCACCGGTCAGTGAAATCACTCCCTTTGATTGCAACTGAGCATCTGCTTCTGCTCGACCAGCCTTGAGAGTCACAAGCTACCAGGAGGACTGGTTTTAGCCCGGCACCCACCTCCTCTGAGGCTGCCGAGAGAGCTGAAGGTTGGGCCATGCTCAACTCGAGGAGCGACGAGATGACTCCACGTGCCGGGGCCCATCTCTGGAGGCAGCTCATTTGGCGAGCGGCGCTGCAGACTTGACATGCGCAGCTAGCTCAGGTTCATAGCTAAATTAGTCCATTTGTGTTGGCATGGGATGACAGGGCTCCTTAATGCCTCATGGATAGAAAAATTACCCTCCTGCACGTCTGCAGCTAAGGCTTCTGCGTGAAACCCGGCTGTGTGCAGCTCCCCAGGCTGCAGCAGCTATGACATACCCCTTAAATGAACTGATCAGCTGGAGAAGGGCTGTCGGGGAGGCAGGAAAAGGCACTTATAGAGTCATTCAGGCGATGCTCCTGTCTGGACAGCAGGGTCTGTATCGCAAATCAGAGTGAAAGAGCAGAGAGCTCTCCCCAGCCAGTGCAGGGAAATGAAATGTAGACACCCAGCAGATTTCCATTTTCAGCTTAGAGGGTGCATTTTTGTGATTTTTAGTGCTTGGGCTGGTATAAAGGGGAGAGAGACAGCCAGCCTTTGGTGAAGCTGTGTATAACTCAGGCAGGTAGCTGCAGTCATCAGTAGTTCAACCTCAGTCACTAAGTGGTGTGCTTCAGAGCTCTCTAGGATGCCCAGCATCCCAGTTGCCAACTGGTATTTCCCCATGTAGATCTCCGCTTCCCAATCACTTGTATCATCAGCCTCTAAGCATCTCCCCTTCGTTTCTCACTGTCCACTTATTTGTTGCGACGGCAGATGGCATCTTGGGTAACTCCATGGACCACGGTTTCTTTCTGGCAGAGCCACAGCCTCAAAGACTCCTTTCCCTTTCGCAAAGAAATAGGCTGCTAACACCGGCGTAGCTGGGAAGGGACCGAGCAGGGGGTAGGAGACCGGGGCGGCTGTGCTTCCCAAACGAATAGGCACCCTGCGTGCGTTGGGTCTGTGGGTTACGCAGCTCTGCCCCGCTCATATGAGAAACTGTTGAAAGGCTGCAGCCGTCAGAGGGGTGTTTTCCATGCGTGCCGGAGCAGCAACGCAAATTTGAGCAGCGAGATGACAAGAAACCTGCTAAAAGAAATAAAGAAAGGATTTCCTGCCTCGCAGACGTTAAAACCCCGTTTCGGGAAGCGAGTGGCTATGAAAGGCATGAGGCCATTCAAAGAATTGGGGCTGTGTGCTACCGGGCCCTCCAAGGGTTTGTCTGGTGGAGAAGAAACAGCCCGTGCTTGCTTTAACCTGCTCCCAGAAGGTCTGTTTCTTCCAGCCCTCTGAAACGGAGACCGGGCGAGAGATGAATATGAGTTTTCTCTGCCAGTAATTTCCAGCACAGACTGCACGCAAAATCTTCATTTAAAACGTGTAAATGACAGCGAAAGAGCCACGAGGGAGCCAGATTTTGAGAGACCAAATTGCTGCCCGGGTTTTTAATGACTGTGCGCCACGGCAGGCCCCGTGCTGCTTCGCTGCTGTGTGTGCTCAAAAAGGGGATCAAAGGATGGACAGACGGACTCAGCAGAGCCTGCATGTCACCCTGGAGGATAAAATATTGTATGTAATGCTCGGAAAAATTGGGAGAGGTGGGCCTCCCTTGCTCCTGAAGAACAGAAAGAGGCTTTGTTTCCCAGATGTGTGGCTCAGAGCTGCCCCATGGCACGTACTGGGGAGACTGCTCCCTGCTCGAGGGGGGGGTTCTGTCCGGTGGCCCATGCCCAGCAGGACATAGAGGAGGTGATGGGAAGCTCTGCTTCACTAGAGGGCCTCAGCAGATTAATTCCTCTGGATGCCCTGGGTGTCCCTCAGGCTCTGCAGGTTGTACACCCCAATCAAACCCCAAAGGTTCCCCCCCTTGCACTGCAGCTTGCCTGCCTGGGGTTTTGCTCCCTGCTGCCCGTTGCTTGTTCTTTGCAGAGCCCTCAGCTGTGTCCAGATGTTTCCCTCTGGTTCCCACCCTGCCTGCCTGCTCTCCTCAAAATATCGGGGTCCAAATACCCCACTGCTGGTGCTGCAGGGCTGCACTGGGGTCTGCGTGGGGGATGCAACAGCCCGTTTATGCCATCCCGTAAAGTGCCCTTCGGGCAGGGACAGACAGACGCAGGCTGATGTGAGCCCAGCCTCTGCTTTACAATCTCTTTCCTGCCACTATAAATAACCTCGGCGAGAGTGACTTCAAAGGGAAGGGCTGGCGGCGGCGAGGTGGTTTGGGGACCGAGTGGGACAGGGGCGTCCCGCTGCCCGATCCCACCCCGGCGCTTTGCATAAATCAATAAATCATGCAGCAAGGGAGAGGTGGAGAGAGAGGGCGAGCAGAGGAGGTTACTTTGGGAAGCCGCGCAGCTCGCTCATCCCAGCCCCGTAGTTCGGAGGGAGTGTGTCATGTTACAGGAGAGCCGCGATCAGCCAGAGCACAACGTCGCCGGAGCAGCTGAGAATTACCTCTCTCTAATGGGGACTTTCATGTGCGAGCTCCTGGCCGGTCTGCGAAGGAACTGAAACTGGCAGCTTAGAAGGAAACAAAAACCTACCAGCGAACCAAAAGACTGAACCTGATCAGATTTATTTTTTTCCCCCCCTCCCACTCTTTGCTGCAGCCGGATCCTTTTTTTTCTGCACCCCTTTTATGTGTGTGTGGTTTGTTTTTATTTTTTAAAGACCCTCCCCATCCACTTTTGTCATTATTGCTGTTATTTGTCATTTGCTGGCACTGGGATCCCCTTGGACGCTCTTTTTCTATGCCTTCTGGATTGTGCTACTCGGAGTAGGAGTGAGGCTTTATTTATTCTATTTATTTATTTATTGTTTCTCAGGACAGGGAGGGAATGTTGGAGGAGAAGAGCTGGAAAGGCGCCGGCGAAGCAGCTTTTGACAGGGGGTGTGTGGCTCCCCCCAGGACCGGCGATGGGGAGAGATGCTGCCGCCTCCCTCTCCTGCTGGGCTCAGGGCTGCCTGGCATCTCCCTGCTTTCTCTGGTGCTGAGCCTCCTGCTGTACTTTCGGACCTCCGATCTGCAGTCCCGGGTGTCCCACTTGGAAGCGGACAGACCCACACAGCTCCCTGCCTGGCTCTCAGCAGACCAAATGGAGACAGCTATTTTGGGAAGAGTTGACCAACTGCTTGATGAGGTCGGTGTCCTTTCATTTTGCATGTATGGTTTGCGGTACTATAGATTTTAAGCACGTGCATGCTCACATAGTCGCGTTTTTTTTCCTCCCTTAAAAATGTATTTCTGCACAAGGGATGCTGCTAGGTTGAATTTCCCATGTCTCAGGTCCCTCCCACCTCTCAAACCTGCCTCGTGTTTGCTTCCCCCTGCCCCAGCCTATGCTGTGGCTGAGCCCCAGCACTTTGCAAAGGGGGGAACCTCATCCCTGGTCCTGGCAGGTAGGGAAGAGCCTCCAGCCCTCTCCGTTTGGTGACTAATGGCATTGCCTGCTTAAAGAGTTAGAGCTAGAGGTTAAACCTGGGAATTCAGAGTGGGTTTGAGCCCTGGGAGAGGGGCAGGCAAGGCACGCCACAGCCGGTGTGGCTACAGGAGGAGGTA